GCAAACACACTAACTTTTCTACTCTTCTATCTTAGTGACTTTTGTCCACTGCAAAGTTGCTTTTGACTTCATCTTTGACTTCATCAAATCAATGAGATCTTTGCCAAAGTATTTCAATGAGATCTTCATCACTTTCAAAAGTAACAACACAATCAAGAGAACAAGTTAGACGACTGATGGACGATTGGTTAAAAGGAGACCCAGGGACATAAAGAACATTAGCAATGGTTAAAGAAGGAAAAAGTTTAACCGTTCCAACACCATGAGATGATACTCTAGAGCCATCAACCAGTGTAACAGAAGGTAAATGATTAGGAGAGGATAAAGAGGAGAACAAAGATTTGTTACCAGTAATATGATCAGTGGCTCCCGAATCAAAAACCCAAGGACCAGGAGAAAATGATTGGGTCAGACCAGCAAAATATGTATTTGTATGTGTGATAGATATAGTGGAACTAGAAGACTATTGATCCTTATACCATTCGAGAAATTTGTTGAACATAGCAGGCATGTCGGATGCAATAGAAGAAGGAAGATCCCCTGCAGATAAAGGTGGGGAAAGATTGGTGTGAACAACTACAGTAGATTGAGGAGGACGACCATGTAATGTATAACACTTGTTAATCTTATGACCTAGCTTGCCACAATGTTCACACTTAGGACGCCCTTTTTCCTGTTTGTGAGGGCGAGCCCGGTCATCACGATGGGATGTCAACACAAAAGAATTGTTAACAAAATTGGAAATAGTGGAAGTAAGTGGAAGAAGTCATGAAGAGCGAGAGAACAAACCCTAAAACAATCCAAAGTAATCCAATTAACCCACGAAGCACAAATCCAAAATGAGAATACTAAAAATAAGTTCGCGAAGACTAAACGGCGCAGGAGACAATAGGACGACCAACTCCGATAGTGGTAATCTCAATGGCACGGTGGTCACCTGACCGAGACAAGCAAAATCATATGTCACCGGTAAAAAAAAATGAAACTCCGACGAATTCTCTGGCAGCGGCGGATCCGGTGACTGCTCCAGCGGCAGCGGTGACAGCAACGTGAACTAGTACACCAGGTAAGTTCCCAGGAAAGAGAGGTGGGTCACTAATAGACACACTCAAATACCAAGTCTTTTCTTGCCAGAACTTTCCTAAACATGCACTTTCACACTACCAAATAAAATTCAGTAACAAAGATAATTCTTTTCTGATGTGGAGGATCAGTTTACCAGCAGCGGTGGGGCGACTCTAGTAGCGGTGGGGCGGCTCCAACAGTGGATAAAAGGCGGAAAAAAAAAATTCAAGATAACCTTAAGCTCTAGATACCATGTTGAATATAGAGAAAATAGGGTTTGAAATTAATTTCCCTTGTGTATAAATCACACATAGGGTGGTCTATTTGTAGTAGAGAGATACAACTAAAAGAGTAACTGAAAGTAACAGAATAAACAGAAGATATTGTTCGATATTGTGGTTACCAATATATAACAATATCTTAATAATATCTAACAGTATGTCCATATCTTTTTCTTCTATCATAGGTTTGTGCCCATTTTCCAGTGGATTTGATTCAATTGGTCAAAAGTGAAGTCGTACTACGGTCCAAAGTAAAATCATTTTTGCTCAGGCAACTTCCAAGAAGCGTTGTGCTACCTAGCACGACTTTTGTGTAACCTAACATTAGATTCCTCTTAGTACACTGTTGATTGTTAAGACTAAAATGAATGTTTATTAAATGTATGGAAAAGAGTAGCTCGGTCTATTTAACATGTGAATCCCTAGTTTTCATCTTATACCTATTTTCTTCATCTTTTTCATCACATTTCAATTTTTTTCTCCATATTTTAGAGAATTTGCTTGCCTCCATCACTTCTTTCATTGTAAACCAACCAACCATCCATCATTTCTTTCATTACAAGTCAATTACTCATCCATCACAAACTAATCACAGTTCTATCAAATTTTTTTTTTAGTTTTACAATAATATTTATTATAGTATATTATTTAGTTTCTTATTATTTAGTATATTATTTATAATAAAATTATTACTCTATTAAGTCTATATTATTTAGTATGTAATATTTATTAGTAATATTTGTTATAATATTATTATTGTATTATATTATAATATTTATTAATAATATTTATTGTAATATATTATTTAGTTTTATGTTATTTAATATAAGGTAATGTTTATTATAAAATTATTTATGATTAAATTATTACACCATTATAATATTTAGTCTATATTATATAGTATGTAATATTTATTATAATATTCTTATTGTATTATATTTATTATAATATTCTTATTGTATTATATTTATTATAATATTTTTATTGTATTATATTTATTAATAATTTTTATTATAGTATATTATAATAGTTTCATATTATTATTTAGTATATGGTAATGTTTATTTTTATAGTTAAATTATTAATAGTCTATCTTATTTAGTACGTAGTATTTATTAGTAATATTTATTATAATATTATTATTGTATTCTTTATGATCCAATGAATCTAGATGAGTTTCATTAAATAAATTTGAGAGATAAGATAAATACATTTTTATCATAGTATCATCAACAATGGATTGTGTTATGTACTAACGAACGTAATTGATTAATTTCAAGGTCAATTGTTAAGTGGAAATGGACATTTAGGCAAAAATACATTTTATATATTCTGTAACATCAAGTTGGATCTATGGATTCTTATAAGTCAACGGTACCTACACCACAAAATTTAACCCAATAAAAAAGACATGATAATAATGATACAAAATCACGACAAACATATGACCCTCAACAAAAAAAGTCTAGACAAGACAATTTTATGAAATAGGCTCCCAAAATTAGATTTTTTTTTAACTTTATATTATATTTTTATATCATGTAATTATTTTTATTAATATTAATATATGTTATTTTATTAATTATTCTTATATTTTAATTTTTTTTAGTTAAAATATGATAAATAAAAAAATTACAAAGTAATATTATGTTATAATTAAATTAAAATATAAAAAAAATTAAAATTTTTATAAAACATAAAAAAAGCAAAGTCGTCTTACACGATTTTATAATTAAAAAAATTAAAATCAACATGACTTTAGAATTAAAAAAAATTACAAATCAACGCATGATAACACGACTTTTTGTTCTATAATTCATACCACAACTTACTTTTTTTCTACAACTCATCCTTCCTCCCTACCACAACTTACCCATTTTTATATAATTGAAAAAATTTATATCAAATATTCTAGTTAAATTATAAAAAAAACTCGGAAAAAACTATTATATATCATCTTTATATATTTATATAAATGTCATGTGATGTGTTTATTGGATGAATGATGAATAAAGTGCCCATTTATTAAATTAAAAAAAAGAAGTTTAAGATTGCTATCAAAACAATTTCCCTCTAAAAAAACGCAGATTTAAGATTTCTCTAAATTTTGTCCAATTCGAAAACTTGGTTGCCGCCGGTGTTCAAAGCCACCAACAGGAGGCGCGCCACCGGTTTCATTCATTCATCCATCCATCTTTGGCCACAATGGACGACGCAAACGCGACGGTGACGACTCTGGCAGAACTCCTTCACTCTCCTCGCCCTCACACCGCCACCGCCTCCGCCTCTTCCCTTTTCTCTTCCACGCCCCCGCTGCACCGCTCCACCACCCACCGCGTCCTCACCGCCCTTCCTCGCCCAACCGTCCTCGTAGGAACCCTAACACTCCCCACCCTCCCCCCCCCCCCCTCCCTTCCCTGCTCCTGCCTCCGCTTCTCCGACACCTCCGCCACCCTTTGCTGCGACCTCCTCCACTTTCGCCCCGCCGCTCTGAACAGGGAAATCCGCGTCACCTCCTGGAACTTCGTCCCTTTCAAGCGCCACGGCCGCGACGTTGCCCACGGCCTTTTAGAGATCATCAATTGGCGCTTCTCCGACCCCAGCCACGGGTCCAACGCCTTGGAATCGCTTCCGCTGGCACTTAATTGTGGCAGGCAAACCGGCGCCAGAACGAGAAGCATACACGGCGTGGTGGAGTCCGTAGGTCCCATCTCCGTCGTGCCGTGCACCATGGCGGCTAGTACCTCTGACTTGAATTCAGGCTCCAAGGTGAACCTGCCAGGGTTTTTAGTGCAATTGGTGTGTTGTGAGTGTAAGTTGTGTTGTTCCAAGGAGGTTTTAATTGACAAATTGAGTGAGAGTAGGAAAGGACACTCTTTTACCAAAACGGTGATTGTGTACTTTTGTGGCAGTGCTTCCTCTTGGCACCCTGCAATCACCAAGATGATTGGTGTCCGCGTTGTGGTGTCTGGTTTGAAGAAGAAGGTGGTTTACGTGACGAAGGAAGTGTCTCAAGTTATGTATGTGACTGTAGATGAGTCGGTTCTGCATGTTGGGTCTTGTTCTGAGAATTGCATTCCAAGCTTAAAGAGTAGGATCAAGGGAAAGGGTGAATCTGGTGCTTATACTGGCGTAGTTAAAGGTGTTTACATGCAAGGGATGGTTCTGGAATTGGACCATGATGTGTGGCTTCTTTTAACTGATCAACTGCACACCTCGATGCATGGTCTGAGAGTTGGCTCCATTGTAAGTGAATCAAATTTGCTCTTTACTTGCATGAGATATCTTTTGGATTGTGAATGTAGCACCATGTTGAAGAACACAGTTCTTTTGCACTGTCAGGATAAATTTCATCACCTGAGATATCTGCTGGATTGTAAATGTAGAACCATGTTGAAGAACAGATTTCTTTTTACACAGACATCCAATAGGATGTGCTCATTTATCACAACATCTCAATTCGTTAATATGATGTGGCAATAGGGTGAATTAATGTTAGATGTCCGTGTAAAACTGTTTTAATTAGCAGTGCTTACAAATTAAATTCGTGAATTATAGAATCTGCAACCCATTTTGAGTTTTAAGTTTTGACTCCAACAGTCATGCCATTTGCAGTTGTCAGTGAGAAATGTGCATTTTGTGAATCCGAAGTTTTCGTGGACAAAAATCATTATTCTTGGGGCCTGCATCAAGACCAGCATTGTAGTGCAATCCTTCTCCCCTTCGGAAACTGTGTATGTATTGCTACTATAATTGCCTTTGCTTCTGTTCAAATTTGCATCGCATAAATGCTCAGAGTACGACAGTACACCTAGAGATTGGGCGAATGCAACCGCACGTGACTGAAATCATGCATGGTCATGTTCTGAATTGTTGAACGTCTTGCATGATATAACATACATTGCTCCTTGAATACTAGTTATATGTTTGGATATGCTTTTCTGAAGTAAAATAGCTGCATATTTTTCAAAAGCTCTATCAAGAGGGCAGCCAAGAAAAGCAATTGTTTCCTCGAAATAAGCTGAACCAATTATGCACCAGTTGTTCCTTAAATGTTTCTGACCTGTCTGATTAGTCTAGTTGCCTATTCATATCCTTTGCAGAAAAGTGATAATTCAGTTCAGTATTGCAGGTGTAATGTAGTTTTTCCATCTACCGGTATGTTAGGGAAGTTCACTCAATCGTTACCATTTTCTGCAAGACTCTGGTATTAAATAGTTTGCTTTACTTTTTTTGCAATTAATTTGGAACTTAAGAGATTTCTGGAATATTATGTTATTCCTTTTTATTACTTTTGCTTGGCAGGGTATTACTTCTTGTCTCAAGCTTCCGGAAAAAGTTTGCAGGTGTCTTATCTGACAAGGAGATTTTGGGATCAAAACATGTAATCTTCTTCCTTTGAGTTGAAGGCGATCTTAGTTGGGCTGAAGCTCTTTGTTCTGTTCCATTTCTAATAAATTTATTTATGCAAGGTTTTACCAGAAAGAAGGGCTAGTTCAGATGTATGCTTGTTCATTTTTCCCCTCTTCAATATTTAAAACTCAGGTTTGTCAACAAATTGACAGCTTGTAAAGTTTCGTTCATACTAAGTTTTTGCTGCCAATAGTTTGGTAATAATGTTTTCCTTTGGTAGCATGGTGCTCTCGTGGGGCTGTGTACACATGACTTGAATGGTTGTGGTAGAGTACTGCATTGCAGTTTTCTGAAATTGGTATGCTATTTGTGTTTATATTCTGGTACTTTATAAAGTTTGGATCCAATATGGTCATATATAGTATACAGTCTTTATTTCATCCAAAGAAATAATTTAGTTGTTATGTTTTCATAGAAGGAATTTGTTATTAACCACGGAAGGATATAAATTACTTTATCTGTTTTATTACAGGTACTACCAATGTCTATCTTCATCTGTCACTGTATAGACACCTTGCTAAGAACTATGAACACAGAAAATCACTGTAAATTATTATCTGTTGGCAACCATTTCAGTATTTTATCACGTGAAGCAAGATATAATGGTAGATCAGTTAGAAGGATCATTCGAAGTGAAGATGTAGGTGTTGTTTTGCTTGGATTCCTAACGGTTAGTAGTTCAATTTATATTTCATTTCAATACTTGCAAATAAAAAACAGCTTGCAATGGTTGTGTTACTTCTGTTTTACTCTTTTTAATGTGACATACAATGATTTTATTTTATCTTTTAAAGGAGACACCGGAAAATTTTTAAATGAATCTTGGAGATTGTCAGCATAACTACTAATAATTGGTTTCTCGTGTTTTTGGCTTTTTGCTTTGACTAATCAGATTGATCCTTCGACTAGGAGATTGCGGCTGGTTGATGCAACTGGTGGCGTTGATATTTTTATACCAGACCTTCCCTTAACTTGGAATCCCAACGAAATATATGAGGTTTGTTGTGCCATATGTGATACATATTTTCATAAAGAGGGACTAAAATGAGACTGTTAATTTTGAGGGACTAAAATGAGACTATTAATTTTGAGGGACTAAAATAAGATTATTATTTTGTGAGGGACTAAAAATAAACGTTGCCTTTTTCAAGGAGAAACATTTTTAACCCTTTAAATTTAATAAAGAAGTTCTGCACCACTGAAAAGTGGCTTGGTTTCGTGGACGCAAATGAGAGTTTAACTGATTTCATAATTTTGTGAGAACTTGTAGGCCAGTATTGAATTCTTTTGGAGTAAGCTTATAAATATTTAGAAGTTTGAAGTTGTATGGCAATGCTAACCGGGAGCTAAAATTTGTGTTTGTGGTGACAACTGAATTAGTGTTTCCTATATAACAAATCTATGAATGTTTCTATTTACTTATATGATAAAATATCACGCTATATTTGATTTCTAAGCCTAGTGTTGAAAAACCATATTCATTGGTGATCACCTCTAGCCTGCATTAGTTGTGGACTCTTAGGAATCCACCACTAAATTGCAGCTTCAAGGTGGTATTTAGTTCACGTTAACTAGAAATATGACTTAAATAGAACTTAAAAATATTGAGTATTCTTTGTAAGTTTGAGTTCGAAATTAAATTTAAATTCTAAGATTTAGTAATTTTTTTTTTTTGTCCGTTTGAAAATAGTACTTATAAATTCGTAAGTTGATGACATAATAAGTTTTCCTCAGAATTATCTGTTTAAACTTAACAATCATTTTGGATTTACAGGTGACGGACTATGAGGTTTTAGTGGACAGCATAGGCGAACCTATGGATCAGTCCAAATTTCTTGGCAGCGAGTCATTATCATGTAGAACAATCTTTAATTGCTCCAAAGCAGAAAGAGAATTAAGCACATCATTTTTTGTTTGCTGTCATTGGAAGAATGCTAAATGCAGACATATTCCCCTTTACACATGCATAAATAGTAAGAATGAAAGTGAGACACTAGAGCCTGGATCCTACCATTTGCTTAGAGTATCTCATAAATTTCCTCTTCAAGAAAAGGTTTGTTTTAACTTTATATTTAACCAGAAATTGCAGTCATTAATTTCATTGTGAACTGCCATCAAATGTTCATTAGAGCAGTTGCATGGTAAAAAAATAAGTGTAGAGTTAAAGAGCTAGTAGGATTAGTATCAGCTTAGACTAATATGTTTGCCCTTTCAGATTTTATATGTGTGGAAGTTTTTACTTTCAATGTGAGTTTAATATTACTGTTTGACAGACTGCTAGGTATTATATTTTAAGTATTTTTGCTTATTTGTGTATAATTAACCTTTCTTGGTTATGATAATTTCAAATTCATATTACATAATTAAATGCCTTCAAATGGTCAGTTAAAATTCTTTCTAAACCCTGTCTATTAGGTGGGGCCGAAGATGATTATTCTCTAGCTTAATCTCACGAGTTGAAATCTTTGGGCTTGACTTGAAGTATCAAGCATGGTCATAAACACATGCTGACTAAAGTTTATAATTTAACTAGCAGATAGGAAATAGGTACTGCTAGATTTGAAGTCCTGACCTCTGTTTTGATGTCATATCAATACCAAGGAAGGATTAAAAAGTTAAGCTATTACGTTTTTGCTTAGGAACGGATTTTTATATTTAACAATATAAAAAATGCCTTAATCCAATTATGTACTCTAAAAATCAATCTTAGATGCGTACAATATTTAGACACTCAAAGCATAACCTCTTCCGGTGTGCATATCTATTGAGTTGCTTGCAGATCCATGCAAGAACTTGCTGAAGTATTTTGACGTGATAAAGGAGGTGTTTTTTTGCTATAAATCTTTACATGTATAACATTGCTCATCCTAAAATTATCCATGGTTGTATAATATCCGCATTAGTTTTCAACAATTCTACGCTGCTAAGGCTCCTATTTCAATTATTGCAGTATTCTAGTAAAGCGGGATCTAGTAAGTCAAGTACTTTTGTTGAAGCCATACTTTTTCCATTCATTTTATTGTTTGCTGGGAAGAGTAGAATAGCGCATCCATGCAATGCTTCTTGCGACAAGACAAAGGAACTTCTGAAATCTTGTCTGAGTAGTAATAAGGAAGATAAATTCTCCAATAAGAGGCAGAAACTTATTAAGGAATCAGTAAGTTCATCAAAGGATGGATTTCAGTCTTCCATCTATGGGCTGAGTGCGTGTTCTAATTCTTCCAGGAAACCAGCAGAGAACAAAAAATGTGTCAGCATGAGATCTTTTCATGATTTATCTTGTCTGGTTACTTTTAAAATCCTTCAAAATGAGAGCGAGGTTTGCCCAGCTATCTTGCGCTCTACATCACCTATCAAAGATACAAGTTTTAATTCAAAACCTTCTTCAAAGAAAATTTTGCTGGAGTTCTCATCAGATAGATTTTTAAAGTACCAGGTATCTTATTGTCTTTGGCTTGCCTACCAAGGACAGTAGGCATTAACTGATTTTCTATTGTAGTGTGTTCGCTAGTATTAATTTTCTGTCTACTGCATTTCAGTTGCTGCAGATTGGTGACTATTACATCATAGATCATAACAGAAATGATTGCTTCGGCAGTAGTACAAAAGATGCTGACTTTGGTATCAGTGACAGTGCTAAATTACTTGTTGATTCTGGAAAAAATATTTGGAGCCTTTCATTTGTTTATGATAAGAACCTTTCTGATCATCTATCAGAATATACATCTGCAAAAGATTCTTTATTTCCTACAATAGATGGAGTGTTACATAACCATCAAAAACTTCTGCCGAGGTCCAAAGGTGAACCTTCGGGTGTCTGTTCAGATGTTTGTCTGTATCTCCCCATCAGTCTTGCAAATATGTTGGGGGATAATGTTATGGAATTGGAAGATAGTCAAAGCTTGCAGTTTGCAATATCAGAAGATAGTGCCAACCTTTCTTCATGTACTGAGACTCTAGTGGCTAGGCCTAAGTCTTGTTTTGGAAGTCAGAGATCAAACAGCTTGTTCCCCGAGGGAAATTTGATATCTCTTGAGGGAAATGTGATTGAAATTCATGAAATTGGCTCTGGTTTCTTCAATTCATGCTCAAATGGTGCAAACATTGATGCCCTCCAGTTGAAAGGCCTCATTGAGACTAGAAGCAGTTTCTGCATTCACGTTTTAGTGCATCACCATATTGTAACTGCGATCCCATCTCACTATATATATATATATATATATATTCATATTTTCTGTGCTTATTTCTGCAACATAATCTTGTTAATTTATTTCTTATTAGGTGAATATTTGTGGTTCTGTAAATAAGCATACTTTCCCTACTGGATTTGGACCTGGTGTAACTGCAACATTTCATAGAATTCTCAATGCACGGTATGCATTGGATACACAATAAGAAATAATTGGAATTCAGTTTTTGTTTCACTGTACTGTTACAGAAAAAATAGTAATATTGACAGTTGTGAACTGTTCAATGAAAACGAAATTTCATTGATGAGTATGTTGCATGTATTCTTGTATGCTAGTCTGTTCTGTATACTCAATTTTGCTCTTCCATTTTTTCATATGCACTTATATGAAGGACTTATCTTTCCATTGATATGTGAAATATCTTTAATTTGCAACATAATTGATTCCTTATCTTCTGTTCTGCAGGGCACAAAATAAATTTATGTTGGTGCCTGTGTCATTTATTGTAATCAAATCCATAAAAGTATGTGATAAACAATGCAGTGACAAGCCCTCTTTCTTAAACTCTACTAAAGATGCTGACAATGCATCTCAAAATTCTATCTCTTGTTTGATCTTCCAATTGCCCCAGAGCTTGAGCCACAAGCAAATAGTGCTTCGATGCAGGGTAAATTGTTTTTACATTTATCCATGAAATATTTGTGCTCTCAGAGAACATTATTTTTGCTGCTGTTGTTGTGAACAGGTAGTTGCAGTCTTTGTTCTAGTTATAGAGAGAAAGAGTACAAATTTAATTGCAGAAACAAAATCTAATGCTATGGGGACTCTTTTGGACATTCCACTTGCTAGTTTTTTGTTGGGTAAGTTATTTATGTTAAAAATTAGGTTGAAGTATTAATCAAAAAAAGTCAGCTAACAACTTAATCACTTTCTATGTCTTGCATGTGCATATATTGTTGTTGGTCAAATGTGGTTTAACCTCTGACAGTTGTTTTACTTAGTGTTCTATACATTATAAACATTTTTTATATATTTTAAATAATTCCACATAATTTATGTCTACTTGGTTCAGTTTCTATTTCCTATATTCTATTATTTAGTTTGTGTTGCTCTTTCATTTCTGACATGGACTCCTTGTTCAATTATTTGTGTTATGACTATATCTATTAGCATTCACTTGGGAGCATAATACATGAAATTTCTAATCAATTGTGCATTCCGTCAATAAGTTGTATTTAGATGTTTGGTGGTAGCAAATCTTAAAGGAAACAAACTTCTTTTAGACTATGGAATTACACAACATTTTAACAAAGGCGGATGGTGAGGATTCTAATATATTAACATGGTTAACTTGTGCTTTATTATATGACATGTAAGCAATACTTGACCAAAAACAATAATTTGTCATAAAATAAAGTAGCTCCGTGATCCTTGATTTGCAAAACCTAACCAAGCATACTCATCATCTGCACTTTTCTAATGTTTTGGATCGCCACCTCTTGCTAGCTTCTCTGTGACCATTTTTGTTTGATGATATTTTCTTCGGCATTTCTTGATTAACGCAGAAGATGGGTCATCATCATGTTGTTGCTGGGCTAGAGCTGAAAGGGCAGCAACTTTGTTGAGACTACCTGAAGAACTCACCACATCTCATCATCTAGGGAGAATTTTGAAAAGGCACAAACGAATTACTGTGAAAAGTCATGGATTATATATTGATTCTCCTTATCAAGATCATATTGTTTCTGTTACTTCTGGTAATGCTCTTTGCAGTTCCGATGAAAACATCCTCAAGTTGATAATATTCAATGCATGTATCGGTGGAATATGGGTAAGTTAACAAATATTGATTGGAAGTAGTCAGAAATAATTAGTTTATCATGAAGATTTTGAACGAGAAATATTGAGACTAGTATCTTGTGTCAATTTTATAAAAACTACATTCTTAACAGGAAAAAATAAAAGATAAACGCCATTGGTTAATAAGTAATATTAAGTTTAGTGATGTGATATTTGTATGACTTTCTGTGATGTGTTGCTCACTGCTTCTTCCCCTTGTTTATTACAGGTTAATAATACATTTTCCATCTAGTCTCATCTCATTTCAGTTTCTTTGGCTCTTAAATATTTATCTAAATAATGCTTTTAACCTGATCTTGAGCAGAATGTTGTTGGTAGTGGGATGGATGCAGAGGAAACAAGGCAGTTGGAAAAGGAATACCTTACAGACATACTAAATGTGCAAAACATGCGGAATATATGGGCCGAAGAAGTCTCTTACTCACGCACTCTGGCTGAGGCAAGGAATATGATTCAGGAACTTTTGAAAAGATAATGCCTATTGTCACACAGACTGTCACGAACTGAAAGGATTACATGCATTTATTGAATAAGTATACACTAATATCTGCGTAAAATTTAACAGAAATTAGCATACTGAAATAGGTGTTGTAACTAGGTTGTGCCTGGCACTTTTTTTTGGCTTCTCTTCTATGTAAAAGTAGAAATTGTACCCAACACATTTTTTGAAAATCTTGTAAAAAGGTTCGTTCCATTTTTATAGAAGAATAAATGTAGTTTTTTTTCTTTTTAAAATAAAACTATTATTGTGGCTTAAGAAATGCAGTGATAAAAGCATGTTATAAACAAATGCAGTGATTTCAAATTAATCCTTGACTCTGGCTTCATGTTTAATCAAAAGGTAATGTTATTTTCACATAACACATTCATCACTTTTCTTGTATAATACAGATCTTGTGGAAGGTCTGGAAACTCCACATATCATGTCCTTAAAATCCATAATTATTGATGTTACTGTTGCAATACCAAATGGATTCAGAGATATGAGAATAGCTCAATACCTTATTGATTCTCATTTTATTTCATAATATGGGATAATTAGTCTAATGTTAGCCGTTTCAAATTAGGCTATTGTTTCATGCATTCTCGTACCTTTTTCTACACCCTTGTCATTAAATTAAATCTCATTTTACATCTTGGATTGACCTTTTTGGAATACCTAATTTAGAATCCATTTTTTAAAAGGTTTTTTTAGAGATGCATCCTGAAACACTTGATCGGAACATGCTTCTGGAAAGGTTTTTTCAAAAATGTATTTTGGAACACTCAATTTGGAATGTGTTTTTAGAAAAATTAATCTGAAAATGCATTCGGATTGGGTGTTCTGCAATATGTTTTTGGAAAGGTCAATCCAAAATTGGATTGAATGTTCTAAAATGCATTTTCAAATTAGTTTTTTCTGGAAATATATTTCAGAACACCCAATTCGAAATGTATTTTTGGATTAGTTTTTTGGAAACACATTTAGAACACTCACTTTGAAATGCACTTATGGATTCATAACCTTATTTTCGTGATATTGTTTTGAATTGAGTAAGTTAGATCTATTTATAATTTGAATATAAAAACATGTAATTTATATATAATATTAAGATTATTTACTTTTAATGGTTAGAAAAAGATTTTAATGGATGTGATAATACAAAGGTATCAAATAGCTAAAAGATGGAGGTGTGAAAGTTATACATAAATAAAAGAAGAGATAAAAAAAACAAAATTATAAAAAGTATTTTAGATATTTCTTATACACGGACAAATTACATGTTGCAAGAAACATGAGCTTTCAAATTAACAGCTAAAAATTGTAATTATAGTCCATCTAGTCTATTACTTCGTAATATCAAACTTTTATTTTATTTTATTTTTATCTCTTGTACTATTCGTTTAAACAAGATGTTCATTTCATCTATGTTCTTATCTTGTCTTAAACCACCCATCCAAATGTTTTATCAATGTAACCATGATAATTATTTACTAAGAATCTCTCCTCCATACAAAGAAATATTATTATACATACGTCTCGAAGTATATAACAAGTTCTTTCTAAAAAATATTGAAAATATATATACATTTGGAATAATGGAGTTCTTTCTATTAATTTTTTAGTGTTTTTACATCTAAAATCGGACCCAATGAAATTAGCTTTATTTTGTTCAAATTCTTATTTTAATCAAATTTGATATATTTAAAAAAAATGATATTATCGAAACCAATTACAAATTAACTTCCTAGTATAATTATTTAACAATACTATAATTATAAATATTTATAGTTACTAGAAATAAATTTCTATGTTATTTTAATAAAAGAATTAACACTTCAAAATTGTCAGTTAACAATTAAAAATTTCACAATATCTACATAAATTATAAATTATTGAAAATCAATTATTTTAAACAACGACAACTATTCAATCTATTTTAGAAACTAAAAAGAAAACAATTCACAAATACAAAATATTATTTTAATAGATATTATAATACAATTTATTTAAATAAATTAACTTGTTAAAAAAAATTTGTATTTTTTAAAATAAAATATTTTTATTAAATACATTATTAAAACATCCTTCTGTCTTTGTTTTATCCTTTAATTTCAAAATGAAATATTTCAAGAAAAACATTATTAAATACCAATCATTCAGGTTTGTATAGATATCATTCCTGGGAATATAAAATGGTACCAGAAAACGAACGCCCTCTTTCTGTCTTTCACTAAGTTACTTTTTGAACATCAGCACATAAAAACCCCTAACTATATCTTGACCGGAATTCGCTGAATTGAAAAGTTTCCTTTCTTATCTTGTTATAAAGAGGAATCTGGAGATAAATTGATACAGTAACCTATTAACACGTAAGGAAAGAAACAGGCGCATGTAACGAATCTCCAAAATTCCTAAGAAACTTCAACAGAAGTCAATAAAATCAGAAATTAAGTGGCTCTAATAAATAATACAATTGGGGGAAGCTATAAGGAAACACATGCAAGGTAACAATTTAGGGATAGGTGATAAAATTATGCATCAACATAACTTATTCCACACTAATTCCTATGTATTTCAGTACACCACCAACTTGTCAACATGTTTTTCCGGTAAAGTTTATGGCACCCAATACCACTTCCAGTAGAATGGTGACCTATCATCACAAGTAAATTTGAATACACCCCACCCCACCCCTTGTATATATAATAGAAAGGGAACATGGGAATCAAATGTTCCTAAACCTGTACAGGCTAACCACTAAAAGTTTTACTAGCCACACAGTAACAAAATAAGCTCCCCTGTCATGTGAAAAAGAAAAGACAATAGGGAACAGATCAAGCCGAGTATATCATGATACACGGAGAGCCTGATTGCAAATATATCACAATGCTACCATCACATTGTTATGGCATTATGATAAATATACAAAAGGGGCAGAAAACTTTGCCATAGAAGCACCTTGCACTTCCACTTCAGATTACTCCATATATACTCAACAAGTACAGATGCAAGGTTGTACAGCTGATTGAGACCTTCGGCACAACTATTATATTTGGAGAACTTATCTCCAATCATCTATCAACTTAATACAGTCTCCGAGTTCACATGACCACCACTGCTCCCAGTATAATTGTTAAATCCAACCACAGGCACAGAGCGCTGAGCAAAATCTAGTAATAACTTCCTTTGGTGGTCATTGGTGTGAGGAAGACTTACCCGTAAGAGTTCAACAGGCATTTCCCTACTAATTGCTTTAGCAGCATCTGATCCAATTACAGCCACATTTGGCGTCCCTTGTACAAGCAGTGATTGCATGATACTCTGATATTTATTCATGCAATACATAGTGAGAAGGCCAAAAAATTCATCAAATGAGGCCTGCCAAAATGACCGATTAGCTATATAGCTGCAAGCACCATGGGAACCAGTAAGAAGTTCAGTGGCCCTCTCAAGAACACATACTAAGATTCGGGAGGCACCGTCTCCACCTGTACTTCCAAGGGGACGTAGAGGAGGCTGCTCTGAGGAACAAACCACAGCTGCAAGACAAGCACCTAGGGCACCAAGATCCATTCCCTGAACACTTTGACAAACAACCTTAGCAAGGTGACTTGTGGCCTCGGCAGCTTCAGGTTCAGATGGTAGACTACCAAATAAAAATCTCAAATGACGAAAAATGGCCATGCAGACTATCCGCATAAGATCACAACCAGAAACAAGTAGCTGAAGATACTTTGACAGTAGTTTACGCCCTTTAGGTATAGATACTAATCTTACGAAAACAGCATCATCCTTAGCACCAAGCCCAACTTTGTTTCCATTCTTTCCCAGTGGGTCTACAAGTTGGAGAGATGTTGCTAGACCTTCCAAAAGGACCTTCCGTCTTCGTCTTAACTGAGTGCCACCATCTTGCAGCTGATTACACTGTAGAAATCGATCAATATCCTCTACATCAAGTAGAAGACAAAGACCATCCTCAATTGTGACTCTGGCTGCAAACAGAGGCTCCTGTTCAAGGGGCTTCTCTGAAATATTTCGCTCAGTACTACCAGAACTGGAAGAGTTTGACGGATCAACTTCAAGAAGAGCATGAGGCCGCCGAATAGCCAAGAATGAAACCCTACCTAAAGTATCAACCTGAAGAAAACCATGTGAGTCCGTATTGCCACGGGATCGTGCAGGAAGTTCCTTTATTTGTGTTGGGCAAAATGAATGTTTCAACTTAGCCCCACTTTTTTTAGCAAGACAAGCTTGGTGATAATAGTCATCAACGTAGGGATCATTGCAATGAGTTACAGCTTGCTGCATTCTAAGAATACTCTCAATTTCATCACTAGTCATATACTTAGACCTAAACTGTAATGAACTACTTTCATTCTTCTGGCTAGTGACATCAGAACCTTGTTGCACAAAACGATGACTCTGTTTACCCTTATGAGTTGACTTTGGCCTGTGTTCTCTGGCATCAGCTAGACCAAGCATATGATCATATTTGCTGACCATGGATGATCCAGAAGAAAGCTGAGAATTAAATAAATGGGTTTGGAAACCTGACATGTAACCTCCTGATTGCTGAATGGGATGAAGCAGTCTATGCTGCTGTTGCTGCAACTGGGTCAATAAATGAGGTGATAATGATCCACTCTGATGGTGTAATTGTTGCTGCAGCATATTACTGAGGAGGTTTGGATGATCTCCAGAATACAACCCAGATTGGTTGACCCAGGGTTTCTGCAATTGATAATTTAGAGGGGAGCCAGGTGTAAACTGGCGCACATTTCCACTAAAATGTGACTCATGTTTTGATCCACTCAACTTTAGTGCAGAATTGAACAAATGAGAACGATTTTGTGATGGTAAAGCCACATGAGCTCCCCCAGCATGAAAAGGAATGTTCAAGGGACCTGTACTGTAATTTGGGGAAGACTGTTGGGACCTACCACCAGGGGGAGGATAGGAAGTAAATGAAGATTTTGGTGCCAAAATAGGTT